AAAGGTGCCAGGGGGAGTTTTCTGAGGTTTGAACCATCAAGGTCACGGCGACACTGGAAGCAGAGAGGCAGTCAGGGTGCTGCAGCTTGAAGGGAGAGGCCGGGCAACCCTGGTGCACCAGGAGCGCAGGGAGTGAGGGGTCGGGGGCCTAGAGGAGCTTTGCTGCTTGCGGGGGTGGGGGGTGGGGTGGGGGTGGGGTGGGGGTGCAGAAGTACAGTAGGAGGAGGAGTAGAGAGGAGTGTGACCTCAGACAAGTTAACGTTTCTAGTCTATTTTCTCAATGACTTGAGGAGATAATTCATGGAACGGTCCAGTGAAGCGCCCACTGCAGGTTAGCCACCGTTTATTTTTATTATGACTCTTATTACTTGCTGCGAACAGTTCACGCAAGTCTCAAAGGAGACAGCCATAAGCAAGGCCCAGGAATCTCACCAGTTTGAGACTGGAGCTCTTAGTTAGCCTAATGAGCAGTGAGAAAGCATGTTAAGAAAACCTGCCTTTGAACTTCAGCTCTCCGGCCAGGCCACTTTGGACACTTGCAGGGCCTCAGTGGCCAGCTCTCCGCTTCCTCTCCCTTCCCCACCACCCTCTGTCCACAGCCTTTCAGATTCCCCAGGAACCACGGGAATGAGGAGAAGAGAGAAGAAACTTGTGGGCCATGTTCACCTCTTTGGGGCCACTGGATTCTGTAGCAAATGACGTTGTCAACGAAAGGAAAAGCCGCCATTTGTGCCGACGGCAAGACACTCAAGATTTCAACGTTTTAGCAAGTCTAGCACAAAGATGTCCAAATGTTTTCTCTGGGATGGCTTCAGAGGCTAAACTGTGATTAATAGCCCAGAACGAGCCCTTTGAAGCAGGATTGGTGACATCAAAGTCCTAATCCAAGGGTGGCAGGCGCTTTAGAAGGAGTGGGAAGCATTTTAACACATTTCAAAGAATTTACAGCCTGAATAACAATAGACCACTGCCGATGTACCACACAGAAACACAGCCTAGATGAAGTTTCCAGTTTTAATGGACATGTAAACACCAAGTTCACGCTTCTTTCAAATGGGAAGCGTCCTCAGCACCCGCACCCTGACTGCCTCTTCCCGGCTCCACTCCGGATGTCTCCTGGCCCCCAAGCACGTCCAGTGCATCCCAGAAACTGTGACCACCGACCGGCCTGTGGCCTCCAGAGGACACGGAAGTCAGCTAATGGGATCGACAGCCAGACGACTCGGGAACCAGGGTAAGAGGGAATTGGCCCTGGCAGGGACCCTGCGTCCTTCCTCGGAGTCCGACTGCAGGAGAAAGACGAGTGGAGTGGAGAGAGAGCCAGGCTTTGAAAACGTCCTTTGCTGCTTTGCTTTCAAGGCTTTTCAGCTCTTGGGAAGGCCCCAGCCCCCTTGATTTCTTCTTAATGCTAACCCGTGGAGACCCTGCGTGGGTCAGAGGAGAACCAGACTCCGCAGAGTGAGCAGTGGCTGGATTTTGTTTACAGAAGTAGAGCGCCAGATCTTTTTTCTGGAGGTCCCTCTCTGGACGGGCACTTTTGGGCCACCGACCACCGTTGGCATCACCCAAGGTAATGCTCCCAAGGGCGGGTTGCCCTTTGAAACATGTCCTGGAGGCCAGCCTCCCGCCACTGCCCCCTCTGGGTTTGCAGCAGGGACTGCAGGGCCGAGGTGGTGACTTGAATGGGGTCTTGTTTGGGAAAATTTCCCTCCAAGCACAAGA